GAACCCGGGGGCGAAGGCCTCTCCCACGGGTGGCACGACAGCGGATAGCCTGCAACTCACCTAGAAGGGTTGGTTGATTGTAAGAGGCTTGTAAGAGCGATGAGAGGAGACGTTCGAGTGAACTGAACTGTAGATTGGGGGTACAGAGGTCCCCTATATAACCTGCTGTGCATCTGTGGCTACGTAGTACTATACAGTACCTTCCCAGGATGCACAGTCGCACAGAGAAGCAGTGCGTACACAGCGAAGCTGTGTGTGTACCACATGAGTAGTACAGCCTCGGTTATTGCAGTAACCGGCTGTGCCGTTCCATATCTTGTGACGGCTGTATTAGGCAAGCTGTGTAAACCAGCGCCTGTTCAACACCTATCGCATCCTCATCCACTCACTTACCTGCCCCTCTGTCTATTCATCTATTCATGCAGTACGCATCCGACTCTCCTTACCGTACATTTACATACTACATACCACTGTCCTCACATTCCGCTTCTCGTTCAAATCCCCAGTGTGTCTTGTATCCAACCCACCCTAGTCGATCGTTTTGGTATACATGCTTCCATTGGCTTTCAAATACTATTATCGATAATATTAATGATTCCGCTGTGTCTCAAACGTGTGGAGAGCTTTGCCAAGATGTTAACCCGCAATACCTTAAGGTTGCACTTATGTATGCTGGTGTCGAGAAACATCTGCACGACACCCTCATCAGTCGAGAGCTAGGCTCTGCCTCTCGTACTTGATTTTATCTGCTTAGAGAGGCTAACAGCATAGGAAGTCTCTCCTAATGAAAATGTGGCCATAGGACTCTGCAAGGATCAGAGCGGGGCGTTGTCGAGACTTGCGCGATGTCCCAGGTCATGAGCGCTTGTGGCTGTGTTGTGACTACTAAGTCTGACTTACAACGAATTAAAGCCTTGTAAGCTCCAGGATTCAAATCGACTAATCGACTTTCTATGTGGTCAATACAAGACTAACATGAAGTGACAGGCGTTCAGTATAGAAGCCATCCCGATAAGGATCGTCGTGGGCGCTCTTGCTTCCAAAGGTGGTCCGAAGGCTCTCATGGACGGTAGCACCGGACTATAATCCATTACAGTGATTGTACTCAGGCAGCTTCGACCATATGCCATGGTTTGGCGGTCTGTTGATCACTCTAATTCCGGATACAGCTATAAGCTAAATTACAATAACATCTCCCACCTTACAAACATATATACAACTTCTTACAATCGCAAGACAAAGCCGTATGTCATGCAAAGTTTAACACAGGTTTTCACAGCCCTAACGTGGATTACAGGCTATCACAGTTTCAGGTTCTAGCAGAGGCAAATACGAGTTTTCACAGGACATGCAATAATCACAATCAATTACTACAGTCCAGGGGCATGAGGTGTGTGTAGAACAACAGTGTATCACAAATTTGGGCCTGTTCTGCAGATATACAATAGTTTACAGGGCTGATTACAAGCGTGAGGTCGTAAGAAACTTGGTACAATCCAATACAACTGGGAAATACAAGCCAATGGGGTGTTTACAGACTTTGACAATGTCGATTCCAAGGCTCGTCCGAGATTATACAATAGCCATTACAAGCTCCGGGCGATCCGAAGCCATACACAAGGTATCACAAAGCCCGGGGTCGCCCTGTCAATTTATTACAATAGTCCTATACCAGCATGATGGCATATACACAACATCTACAGGGTTTTACAAAGTCGGATCCGAAATCCGCGACCGTTTTCGCACTTTGGACAAGTTTTGACAAGCTTGCATCATCAGTAAACATGGGAATCACTTAATACGTCTTAAACACGTGTTTAAGGGCATTAAGACGCCTAAGACGGCATTAAGCGTCAGTAAGTCGTAAGAGTTAAGATGCTCGATTAAGACGGATTAAGACGGATTAAGACGATTAAGATGGGCGAGTGCAAAAACGTTCTGCATCATCATCGTGCACGCCGGCCTCTGTCATAATGTCTGTACAGGCTCCAATTGACCTCTCTTGGTCTCTCTTTCTGCTACACTCCATTATTTGGCACGCTGTACGGAGTTGAGGGTGAGCAGCTCGAAGATATGCGTGGGAGAGCTAAGTGGCTTAAGGCGCTAAGCCATTAAGCTAATGCACGGTTTACTGATGATTACCTGACTGCACACACGGAACTGTATATCATTGTATGAGTCCTATACTAGCGTAATAGAATATCTACAATATACACTGGCTTTGACAAAGTCGACTACAAGCCCTGTTATGGATTCCGCCGCTTAGACAAGCTTCAACAAGCTTCTATTACAAAGGCACGTCCGCCGCTTAGACAAGCTTTAACAAGCTGCTATTACATAGGTACGCTTCTATTACAAGAGTGTTATACTGGCCTGGCTGCGTGTATACAATATTACAGGCTCTTACAACGTCGATTACAAGCCGTGCTAGTGTTTCCACTGTATGGACAAGCTTTCACAAGCTTGCATTACCTGAGTGCGTAGACGGAGCTGTAATCAATTGTATTGTACAATATACGTACACGGAATACACAACCTGAGCAGCAGGTTAGTGGGCGGTTGTAATACAAGACTGGATACTACTGGTGACCGTCGGCGGATCCTGAGCATGCCTGATTTGGGAGAGTTCAGCACGCGCGCCACTCCATTGCATGGGCGCTTCTCACACCTTTGGTACATAATACTGCTACTACCGCTGCGTCCTGCCCTCTGCTGCTCTCCACGTACCCGTCTATCGCCCCAGATTCTCTTGATACCATGAACCGCATATTTGGCAGTTCCGCGAGCAAGAAGCCCCGCCCGAACCTCCAGGATGCGATCTCCTCGGTCCGTAGGCCCCCCCCCCATTCTGAGCCACATCTGGGGGCGTCGAGCGAACAGCAAACTGATGTGCGGGCGCGGGCGCGCAGACAGACACCAGGATGGCCTCGATAGAGGTCAAGATCAAGAAGCTGGACGGCGAGCTCGCGCGGTACAAAGAGCAGATGAACAGGCTGCGGAGCGGGCCCGGCAAGGTGCGTCTCCCCCGTCCCCCGACCCTCTGCGGCCTGTTCCCCCTCTCTCGCCTCTCATGCTCACACTTACGATGGCCGGATACGAACACGTCTCGCCGCCGCCGACAGAACGCGATCCAAGAGCGCGCGCTGCGCACGCTGAAGCAGAAGCGGATGTACGAGTCGCAGCTCGCGCAGCTGACGCAGCAGACGTTCAACATGGAGTCCGCCGCGCTCGCGACCGAGAACCTGCGGAACACGATGGCGACGGTCGACGCGATGAAGCAGGCGAACAAGGAGCTCAAGAAGCAGTACGGCAAGATCGACATCGACAAGATCGAGGTGCGTCCCGTCCCGCCCGCCCTCCCTCCCTCTCTCCTTCCCTCGCGGCGGTCGCTCCTGGCGCATGACTGACGACTGACGGCGCGCGCGGGGCAGAGTGTGCACTATGACATGGAGGACCTGCTGGAGCAGGCGAACGAGATTCAGGAGACGCTGGGCCGGTCGTACGCGGTGCCGGACGAGATTGACGAGGCGGACTTGCAGGCTGGTGCGGATGCCTGTCTGCTTCTCGTGGCTATTGGTGTCTGACCGTCCGACAGAGCTGGACGCACTGGAGCTGGAGGCTGAGGACGAGGGCCCTTCGTACTTGAGCGATCTCAACAAGGTCCCAGATTTCGTGGACGAGGCTCCTGTTGAGGTGTCGGAGGTGAGTTGTCTTCCTGGTCTCGGCAACTTACGCAGTGCTCACGCCCTGCAGACTCCAGAACAGCACGAAGCAGTCAAGACGACGGCAGCGGCATAGGCCTGTAGCGCACGTTTTATGGATATCCTCATCGCATTGTAACATCACCAGGATGTATCGAACTGTTGTCGTTGAATGTACACTACCATTAGTTCTGCTCGAGATGTTTGCCATTGCGCTAGATATTCACAACACTCGGATTTCACGTACGGTGATCCCTCGACAAACAATGCCGAAGAGGAGCGGTGTCTGACCTCGTTTACAAGCATCTCAACAACGAGGATGTGTACGCAATTCGAGAAACAAAGACATATACAGAAATTCAGCCGTATCGCTTCTCAGTATCATCCTCTGCGAACCAATCCTGAACGGCCCGAGTATCCTCCGCGTCGGCAATGTTGATGATCGTCGACTTGCTCTGCGTGTCTATAACATGCAGCCAATGTTAGCAAGACATAGCTTGTCGATCCAGTGCCTTCTCGGAACGCACAGGCTTCGAACGCCTCGACCCCATTCTCCCTGCCAATCCCACTCTCCTTCATACCGCCCCTGGAACGGCATCTGCAGGTCAGCTTCTCGCATTCTCGACACAACAGAACAGGCAGGTCGGTTACGAACCAAGGCGAGCTGGGGTCATTGCGGTGGTGCGTGTTAACCCACACGAGCCCAGCCTCGATCGCTGCGGCGGCCTGGTGCGCCTTCGCCAGGTTCTGCGTCCAGATGCCCGCACCCAGGCCGAACTTGCACGCATTAGCCAGCTCTATCCCTTCCCGATCGGTCTAAGTCAAGCGATGTGACGAGCAAGGTGCCGGGGAAGGGTCATGTTAGCTCTGTTACTGGCCTGAGTATCAGAAGCGGTGAAGGACGTACGGAAAAGCGTTTCACCACGACCACCGGTCCGAAGATCTCCTCACGCCAGAGGTCGTCCTCGGTAGGCACGTCGGTGATCACTGTAGGGGGGAAGAAGGCCCCTTGTGAGAAGTCGTAGCCGTCCAGTGCGGACGTGCCTGTCATGCGCTTGCCGCCTGTGAGAATGGTCCCTACGCCCCGCTGTACAACGGTCTCTATCCGCTCCAGCTGGCGGAGAGAGATGACGGTGCCCATCGTGGACTTCGGGTTCATAGCTAGAGCATAAGGGTATGGTCATTAGCGGCATGCGCCAAACGTCTGGAAAGAAGGGGGAGGGCCGTACGGTTGCCCATCCGGGCCGTGACGCTCGAGACCTTCTTCATGAAGAGGTCCATGAACTCGTCATAAATCTTGTCCTGAACGATGAGCCGCGTCCCGGAGACGCACGTCTGGCCCGAAGCGACGAAGCACGCGAACGCAGCCCCGTTCGCGGCAGACTCCGCGTCCGCGTCGTCGAACACGACGATGGGGGCCTTCCCGCCCAGCTCTGCGGTGTACGAGGCGAGGTTGGAGCCGACGATTTTCCCAATCGCTCTGCCCGTATCTGTGCCTGCCTGATCTCGCCTTCAGTTGCATGCTTTTTGCCTGTGTAATGTCGGGGTAACTCACTGTAATGTCGACCTTTCGCACCGTCGGATCAGACACCAGCATCTTGCCCACTGTCCTGCCGTAGCCAGGAAGGACTTGCAAGGCCCCCTGTGGAACTACAGTATGAGATGTAGACCCTGCTGGGCCTCTGGAAGCAACAGACCAGACGCACCTCCTGCGGCTATTGCCATCTCCGCGAACTCGAGCACCGTTATAGGTGCCAATTCACTCGGCTTGACAACAACCGAATTACCCGCCGCAAGAGCAGGTGCGATCTTCTTGATTGCTATGAGGAGCGGGTGGTTGAACGGCTGTTGTCGAGTTAGGCAGTCGCGCAGGCGATATGCTAGAAAACTCACGGTGATCTGCGCGACTACGCCCAGGGGAACTCTCCGCACATAGTTCAGCAGGGGGCCGTGCGTTGGGGCGACGAAGGAGCCCTGTGTGCGCAGGAGCGCGGCATAGTAGTCTCTGCGGGGAAACACGCTCAGAAGCTCCTGCAACCACAAGTGTGAACCGCGCAAACGACACTTACAGCCAGTCAGGCAGCCTCCCGAGCTACTCCGCGCCGCCCCGTAGAATAAGGACTCAGCAAGAGGATTCTCGCGCACGCGAGAGAGCGAAAGAGAAAGAGAACGGATGGACGCACCTGCGCGTTCATCTCCCGGATAGCTCGTCCCGTCTGCGCCGTCTCCATCTTCGCCAGGTCCGGCACGCGCTCCTCCAGGTGCCGCGCGAGGTTCGAGAGCACGGCCGCGCGTAGGAGCGGGGGCGCCCGCGACCATTCGCCGCCCTTGAAGACCGCGTGCGCGTTGTACACCGCGGTCTCCACGTCTTCCTGGCTCGCGGACACGACGCTGGCGCAGGCGCGAGAGAAAACAGCTCAGAAGACCACTCTCATGGCAGCGCGCCGCACAAGCGTAACGAAAGTCGGGACATACGTGGCTACGTGCTCGCCGTTCGCGGGGTTCTTCACTACGATCCTACGGATGCGAGGACGGTGCTGCGCTCAGCGTCTCTGTCCACTGGCCAGCAAAAGGACGGGGACCGCGTACGTACTCTTCACGGCCGTTCGCGTCGGGCATCGGTCCGTCCTGAGCTGTGTGCAGGCAGAATGGACCATATCGCGGCCTGTGCAGTTTCCGCACCTGTGAAGTCCAGGTCCACCAGATGAGTTTGGCCAGGTGAGTAGGGAACGCACAATTGTGCCAGCGGATATCCTGGGCGTCCGCATCGTTGTCTACGCCTAGCAGAGCTCAACGTTGTCGAAGAAGGTTATCTCCAGAACAGGTAGGATGGAGCGACAGCCGAGTCACGGTCAGAGGCCAAGTGAATGTGGCCAAGCGCCCATAGGTCGCGTTCATGCGCGCGACGCGTCTGAGATTGGCGCGCCTGGCTCGCAAGCTAGCTGCGGTAGAACATGAGGCACATACGGTCATGCCGGAATGCGAAGGTCCCTCTGTGTTCTATTGCGTATGTATTATGCTACAGAGAGGCAATCTATGACTACACTACGACAAGAACCCGCGAATAGCACCGCCTACGTTCTGCACGTCCAACCTGCCAAAGAATTTCAGTCAGAGCGGCCTCACAGACCACCGCAAAACACACTCACAAGAACGTATCGTGTCCCCAGACACCCCCGAGCTCGTAGTAGCTCACCATCTGGTTGCCCGCTATCCGCAGAGCGTCCGCGACCTCCCTCTGCTGCTCCACCGGGAACAAGATGTCGCTCTGCACCCCGAGCACCAGCACGGGGGTGTTCGCCAGCGGGCGCAGACCCGCAGCCAGATCTGGGAGATGCACCGGGGGGTTCGGCGGCGGAGGATGGCTCCTCGAATGCGACAGGAGATGGTGGTACCGCTGGTGTGCGGGTGACGTCGGGTGCGCAGCTAAGCTAGGAGGCGGGGGAGGGGGCCCCGCACGCGGGGCAGGGATCTCGAGGCGGAGCTCGGCGAGCGCGGGCGCCGTGAGGTCGAAGAGGTCCATCGCCTTCGAGATGTAGATCAGCGAGTTCGCGTCGTATTTGAGGCAGAACTCCTCCCCTTGGTGGTCGAGGTACGTCTCGATGAGAAAGTCGGGACATAGTGCGGGCGCGCGGGGTGCGTCTGGTCGCTGCGCTTCGGAGTCGGGGAGTTTGCGAAACTGGCGACCGAAGCGTATGTCCCATTCGGGACCTGAACGGTATGTGATGGTCGCAATTTCTGCAGGACGGCGTGTGAGGGAGTGAGAATCGCGTGTACGCGTGTCACGTACGTCGAGCGAGCTTCATCCCTGTATGTGGGGGCAAGCTATCGTAGTAGAAGCCGTCCTTCCAGTTGGGATCCGCCATGAGGACTAACGATTGTATCTCAGGGAGGTAGTCTATGGCAACACAAAGGCTGCACTCACCACTTCGTTGCGCAAATCGCATAGCAATAGCGCTTGGGCTACTCCTCGCTGTCCCACTGATGCTCACGACCTTCCCAACCCTCTCAGGGAATAACCATCCTGCGGCCAAACTCTGCATGGCGCCCATGGATGACCCTACGCTCGCATAGAGGCTCTCAATACCCAGGTGGTCGAGTAAGCAGAATTGCGCTCGGACCATGTCGAATATAGACAAGATGGGGAAGCGGGTCGCGTACGGCTCTCCTGTCTCCGGGTGAGGAGAAGAGGGACCCGTCGAGCCATAGCAGCCTCCGAGGACGTTAGTGCAGATGATGAAAAACTGGCTCGTGTCCAGGGCCTTCCCTGGTCCGATGAACTTCTCCCACCAGCCGTCTGCAGGGTTGAGCTCGGTAGACGCAGCATGCGAAGAAGCGGAAAGTCCGGTGTGAAGCAGGATGACGTTGTCTTTCCTTGGGGAGAGCGTTCCCCATGTCTCATAAGCGATATCGAAGGATGGCAATGTGTCGGCATAGACAAGCGGGAGGGGTGAGGTGTGGTGGTACACGTTGTAGGACGCAGGGTTGGGTCGCGCATATGGGGGTTCGGGGCCAGAGGAGGCGGGATTGCTGGGAGGGGTAGATCGCGAAGAGATGATTCGGGACTCTCGCACGGCATGTGCATCAACGCAAGGGAAGTGGGGGCGTTCTTGCGAAGACCCTGAGGAACCGGGCGTACATTGGGAGGCAGCCCGTATAGATTGCGAGACGTACAGGCGAGAGGGCGCCTTGCTGAGGAGCCTGAGAGACCTGGAGACGGTTTTGCCTACATTCATCGTGCAAGGCTTTCCCAGGGATTGTAAGCGGGCAGCGAAGGATTTGTGGGGCTACGGATGGTGTGCAGCAGGGTCGAGAGGTTCAGGACGAGCTGGAGAGCGAGGGGGACGATGACGAAGACGGCGGGCAGGGCGGACAACGGCTGCAGCTGGGAAGGCCATGCTTGAATTTGCGCTCGACATGAGCGCAGTGGCCAACCCCGTCCCGCCAATTGCGTCAGAATTCACCACTCTTTCCCACGTGACCGCGTTCCTCTCCGCCCCTCGTCCTGAAAGCTGCCCCAGCTTGAGAGTATGTATCGATAGCGGCTCTCCTCATAGAACAACCATGGTTCAATGGAGGAGCACACCGATCACCCGTTGACGAAACCAAAGTTTCCTGGTAGTTTCCTACTTTGACGTGACTTGATGATTGACGCGAAAGACACAACAGACACGAACGTAATATTCTGCGTCATGCCAGCACGTCGATATTCCGATAGGCGTGGCAGATACGGGCTCTGAGCGATGTTTCGTACGGAGAGACAGCCATGTCAATTCTTTCCGCACTCTATCGCCTGCAACATTTTGCGAGCTAGGCCTCCCGAACACGTATGATCTTGACACTCATCGACCGACTTCTTAGCCCGGACAACTAGCATCCCCAACGTACAAGCCTGCCCTAGTAGCTCCAAGCGTCCCGCAAGTAGCATAGGCGATAATACTACACATATCCATTCTTGGCTGTTGCGGGGCTGGAAGCCGCGTGCTTCGAGCTCAGACCCCCACGGGGAAGCCTCGCCGATGTCGGCCGTTGGTGCGGCGCAGGACATACCATCGCCCAACTCACGCCTATGCTGCTTTCTGTGCCGAGGGCAACTTACCCTGTGCGTTGAGCGCGAGCGCAGCTACAGGCCCCGAGCAATGCTGCAACTACTGTCAGCACTGGAATTAAATCTAGCGTCGAGAGTGTCATGAGCCTTCGATCGCAAGAGATGAGCATATGCACTGAAGCCGTCAGCGTGCATGCTTCCCCTGAGGCCCACCCACTGTCATGCGCCGCTGTCCGGAGGGTGCCCACAGCGTTCAAAAAGACGACGAGGACGGGAGAGAGAGCCCCGTACGCGCGCTTCTCCCCTTGTGGCTGCGTATGAATATGGAAATTCACACGATCGCCCGCACTGATGCCCGTCCGCCGCCATCAGCACACCCTCCGTCCCCCAACGCCCGCAAGCCCATCGTCTTCGCCTTTCTCCTCCGGTCTCTACGCGGCAGGCCTACAGTGTTGAATGTCTCCCCTCTCATCTCCCATACACTCACCCACAACATGGCGGACGCCGACTCATCCATCACCGACCCGTCTCTCGCCCCCTCATCTTCCACAACCCACATCGTCTCGGAATCTCTCAACAACCTCGTCCCGAACCCGGACGGTGAGCATCCGTCGGACCGCGCTGCGAAAAGCGACCGGAGGGCAAGTCTGGGTTTGATTGACGCTGCCCGCATGCGGCTCTCCTTGGATGTGCGTTCTGAACATCCTCCCGTTCCCAGCGAGCGTCGTGCCTAACACGTGTTGCGCCCCGTTTTTCTCCCTCCAGCTGCACTCCCTCCTCCGTTCGAACAGCAAGTCGCAGCGTATCCGCGCCGTATTGTCCACCCAGGTCCGTTGTGCCCATCCTGTCCTTCACCAGGCTGGCTCTCTGACGCGCGTGCTTGTTCACGTTGCCGTCCAGGCGGAAGATCCCGAGAAGGACCACCTCGTATATCCAAGCTATGCCAAGGTCGCCTCGCACATTGTAGACCTGGAAGTACGCAGTATGGACGGCGTACCCGAAGAACGGCAAGGCAGAGGTCTTGGAGCTAGGGTGCGTCCATTCACTTCACTCCCCGCTCTTCACAGTCGTGCTAAGCCTTACCGCGTATCGCCATGACATTGCCATGCGCCTTCAACATGGCTGCTCGCGCGTACGCCCACGCAGATCGTCAACTTCCTCAATCGCTCCCGCTCCCGCTCTCGCTCGAGGAAACGTCGCTCACGCTCGCTGGACGCCTACCCTGTCGATCCTATGCCGAGCACCGTTCACACAGCGTCTCTCCGCGTACACGCGCGCCATTCCAGCCTCGATCACGACGAGGACGGCAACGTCGCAGGCCCTTCGCGTCCAATGACGAGATCTCCCTCTCGCCCTTTGTCTAACATCACTACCGCAACGAACGCCACGGTCAAGCCTCGTCCCAGGAAGGCCCCGGAGCCGATTGCGGTGCCTGTTACCGCTCAGGCGCCTACCGCAACGGCTGAGCTGGTTGCGCAGGTCGTCCCGATCGAGGCTACCAAGTCGAACCCCTCGCGCAAAGGCAAGCGTATCAATATCTTCGGCATCCTCCTCCCCAGCCCCCGCAAAGCTTCGTTCGGCGAGTCCTCGCAGGGCAGATCCCGCCCTACCACCCCGTCCCCTGCCGCAGCAAACCCCCCAGATCAGCTCTGGCACGGGCGCGACGACCGGCCCTTTGGGGACAAGTCGGGCTCGCAGCGCTCGCAGAAGAGCACCCGCAAGGGGCTTCCCGTGCATCCTGACGACCCGACCCCCGGGTGCCTGAAGACGAACGAGGGCGGGAAGAGCTCCGCGCTTCCAGGCCTCGTCTCGCCGCAGCCGCGGCGAGTGCCCGTGCACGTACTGAACTCCCCTCCGGGCGCGCGCCGTGGCGAATACATGAAGGCGGAGGACGACCCCGATGCGGACCTCAGGTCCGTCGAAGGGCGCTGTTCCCCGCTTTGCGGACTGGGGACGTCCTCGAACCGGTCGTACACCTCGGCAGAGAAGGGGAAGGAGAGGGAGCGCATGCGGGGTGGTGCTAGGGACCGGTCGGGCGAGCGCAGCCGGGACAGCAGGAAGGAGAAGGAGCGCGAGAAGGAGAGGGAGAAAGAGAAGGAGCGCATCACGCACCCGCGCCGTGTCGGCTCGCCTCTTCCTACCGCTCGCGTGCGCCAGTCGACGTCGGCCGTTGCCGTCGCTGCGGTCCCCATGGAGAAGTCGTCGAGTGCGCACAGCGCGAACAGCAAGCACAGCGGAAGCAGGGAGCACCATAGTGGCCACCCACGCTCCGGCGCGGAGGCTTCCCGGACAAAGCGTAACAAGCACGGCAGCTTTGACTTCGAGCGGCCAGTGTCTGCGGGTGCAGGGCCCGCGTCGGGTAGCAGTGGCGTCATGAGCATCAAGACGGCGCTGCAAAGCATGGGGATTGGGGAGCAGGAACGACAGCTTGCTCTGCAGCGGAGCCACAGCGCGCGCGCTGTTCCCAGGAGACCCAGGGAAGAGCCCGTGGAACACGGCTTCGCGCCCGCGTCGCTCCCGAGTACCCGCGGGGTCTTGGACAAAGGCAAGAAGCCGGCGACGGACGTCCACTTCGCAAACCCCCCTTCCCGCAGGAGCACTGACCGTTCAGGCTCTGCCGGGCAGCATTCTCAACCTGCCTCCCACTCCTCCCAATCCCACCCCCACTCTCGAGGTCACGGAGGCCACCACCCTCCACAGCCGGCTTCGACGTCCAGCCACGGCCACCGTCGAGACCCTGTACCCGCATCGCCCATGTCGACCGCGTCTGGGGACTCGTCAGGGCACAACCGGGACGGCAGCTGGGGACGGAGCGCTGGGAAGCGCGTCGGGCGCGCCTCGCACGGGCCGTTCAAGTTCGAGCCCGCAGTGCCCCCAATTCCCGGCTCTCCTGCGGACAACGAGCGCAGGTCTGCGGCCCGCAGCGCCCCTCGTGCTGCGTCGCCCTCCCCGCTGACGGTGTCGGAAGCGATGTCGCATTCGAAGCAGGCCCGTCTCGCAGGGAAGGGCCGCTCGTTGGATCTCGGTCTGGGATTGACGTGGGCGCCCTCGAGGGTGCGCGAGGAGGCGGTTCTGAGAGTCGGCGGACCGAGGACTGGTATGAGCGCGACTACGTCGTCAGCCGCACGGGCACGCTCGAGGTGGAGGGGTGCGGACGAGGAGGGGCGGTTGACGGCGGGGGCAGCTTCGGACGTAGCGGAGGCGTTCAAGGAGGCGCTGGGGGATGCGGCGTATGGAACTTTCAAAAACTGTCAGTCGTTGCTCTCGTCCCCGATTGCCCCATGTTGACTTACTTACGATCGACTTACTCTTCACAGACGTGCACCGGTTCGATGCGAACGCGATCCCGCTGGACGGACCGTATGGGCTGCTCGTACACGTGGAGCGGTTGCTCGACAACTCGCCTGGCGTGGACCAGCGGCGGAAACACGTGCTCCTGGAGAGGTTCTTGCGTGTCGTGCAGAACTCGGAGGGTCGATAAACTTCGAGCTGTGCACGGTCGGACTTCGACTACTTCCTGGTTCCCTCGGTCTCGTTCATGTGTTCTCAATGATCACCCTTTGTGCATCCCCTGAGCACGACGGCATTCATCTCCTGGGTTGCTTGACCCCTGCATCCTAACGACCTTCACGAACCCCGCTCGTGTTCGTAGCGTTTAACGTATAGCCTATTTGCTGCCTTTATGCCGCGAGTCGCGTCGATCCCCCTTTCATGCTCGACGATCCCTTGATGACCCTGGTCTCTGGTCATTTCTATGCATCCCCTCATCCTTGCGCCCATCTGTTCCAGTTTGCTTGAGCCTTCATTCCCCCAGCACGATTCCTTCATGCACCTGCTATCGATCTCTACGTGATACGATCTCTACCGTCCGTACGTCGACGTCATGCTCTATCGCTTCGGCTTGTATTCCATAGCTACGTTACTATTTCGCCTCCTGCATCCCTCACGAATTTGCACATGTGTACTACTCCTTCCAATCTTTTTGTCATTCCGGATATCTCGCGTTTATGGTTTCCCTCTTCCCGTAACCTGCTTACCTTAGACGTGCCTTCCGTATTGTTCACGCGTTGTAATGCGTAACGGTTCCCCTCATGCACACTCTATTCGGTCTTCGTCCGCATGCCATGTGCAAGGGGTGCCTAAGTTGCCTCGGGAACATTCCGACAAAATGATACAGATCGAGATCGTACAATATGAGAACAAGGTATTCAAACTGCAGTGTGGGGGGTGTTGACAAGAGTAACGACGACCGTCCGAGGGAGATGAGTTGTAATAGCAAGCTGCAAAGTCTAATGCATGCCGCTACGTTGCAGGTCGCAAGGCTCGCAGCCGAGCCGCGAGCATGTCGTCTTCCTCACCGACCTTCTCCTTGGGCACCTCGACCACGGGGGCCTCCCTTGAGGCGAGGTCGTGCTGGAGCTCAATGTTGGCCTCTTCCGCGGTTTGCTTCATTAAGGCATCAACTTCGTCCTGCGGCGTGGACACCGCAGTCGTGTTGGACATGGTCTCCTCCATGTATGAGGTCTGGACGTCCAAGTCGGAGAATTGGGACTCGAACTTTTCCATGACCATGGATATCTGGCGCGCGGATAACGCAGAGATGCAGGTTGGCACAACGGTCACGTCCACAAGGAAGACTGCGCACCCGCTCCAAGTTCATGCTCTCCATCGCCTTGTCCATGCCTTTCACTACGGACGCCATGTTGCCGGAAACCTGGCGCATGGTGACAGCGGTCTCCACCCTGCTCGCGACGGCATCCACTCTGCTCGCCAGTCTGAGCAGATTGAGGGACTCGGTCTTCTTCCGGATCGCGTTCGCTGCGTATATCCGCGCGCCATCGTTGTTCCCCTGTTGCAGCGCCTGGATTGCCACTCTTTCGCTGAGCACGTCCGCCTGCGGGGTGAAGATGGATGGCGCACCTTCTTCAGCTTCGCCTTCTCTGTGCCCTCATCTTTCTGCGCCTTCTTCGCCTGTCTGTTCAACGACTTCGCGGTGAACTGCGGGGGGTAATCCGGTTAAGACGTCACATTCGAGTTCGGAATACTCAACGGCGCACCTTGAGCTGAAACAAAGTCTCTACGCACGGTGAGAAGAATGCGTATGTACCAAAGACAGGAAAACGCACTCTCGAGGTTACTCATGGTGGAGGCAGAGAATAAGAGGTCGTTTCATCCCCCGCGTCGGAGACCGGAGGCGATACGCGCAGCGGCGCAAGACGCCGCAAGACGTCCCAGAGGGGAAGTACAGACGCTGAAGTACCCGTAGCGGATAATCTTGGGCGTCACCTTGGCGGCGGTCACCTGGGCACTTGGCGATCTGAATCGCGAGCATACAACTTGGACACATACCCCTGCCATCTCAAGCGAGATCCTCTTCGACACGTCAGAATGATCGATCTTGAGGGAAAACTTGCCGATAGTTTCCGTTGTAAAACCTTGAAATGGCTTTCGGAGGAGTATCATGGTATGTCGTGAGAGCGTGTCGTGGCTCCTGCTCAAGGACTGAAGGGTCGCGACTGGAAAGAAATGAACGGTACTCAATACGACGTGTTGGACCACAGGCCTACGCCCCTAGAGTTCTCACGCTTGGTTCACATCGCAAGACCAGTCCTCATTAAGGGTAAGAGTGTCTCATACGATTGTCGAAATTCCCTTTCCTGACGTTCGATAGAGTCTACCGTTCCCGAGGTTGATGACAAATGTGCCTGGAGCAAAGAATGGATCTCCGAGAAAATGGGCAACAACAAAATTTCGGTAGCAGTCACGCCTAACGGGTTTGTGGTCTACTGTCCTTCCAGGTCCACTAACAATTGAACGGGATTCCGGCTCGTAGTCGGGCAGATGCCGTGACGACTGGCCCAGATGGAAAATTATTCTTCGCGGAGCCTCATACACAAAGAATGACCGTGTCTTCCTTTCTTGATACTCTCTCTTCAGGTTAGGTGCGATTTGCATCTCCGCTCTTAGTTTTGGTGTCTCCTCAACACGCGAAGAATTACTGAGCCGTTTTCGCCACCTACAGATACAGAGGGACATGAAATTGACAATCAGAGTGGGGAAGTGCATTATCTGCAATCCCAAAACGGCAACCTATTCTCGTCTCGCTACTTTGATATGAGCGGAGAGGAAGACCCTTCCGAATTCGAGGCACTACGGGAATACATCCCGAGTGACGTATCATGGTGTAGCGACGCTCTTGGTACGTGTTTGGAACAATTCTCGTGCTGCGGGAGAACCTGAGAGAAGTGCTGCCTCAAGACAGGACGCCGGATGCGGTCAACCTCTGGATTGGTGACGAGAGAAGTGTGACAAGCATCCACAGCGGTCCGCCGTTCGTTTTCTGATCCAAGGCTCGGTCCTTCTCACCGGTACCTGAATAGATCCCTACGAAAATATCTATACCGTCATACGTGGAGCTAAGCACTTTACCCTGCTACCGCCTACTGAAGGCTGGTGCCTCAAAGGTTCGTAGGTCCTCATATACTGAGGCCTAGTCGAGTACTGATGGTGCACAGAACGTCGATATCCTCACGGTACCTACGCTCGATCGAGTTCCTCAAGCGCACTTGAGCTTGTCCCATCCCCGCCGTCAGTGCCGCTCGTTCGCTGGTCTTCGGTTACCGACCCTACCGCCCCCGGAGCGCTGCCGTCTAAGGCACATCCCATCCATGTGACTGTGAAGGCGGGCGAAACTTTGTACCTGCCGGCGGGATGGTGGCATCATGTACAACAGGAGGGTTTTACCGTGGCCGTCAACTACTGGTACGATATGGAAGGTAGGGGGATGTCGTGGGTGTGGATGAACTTCCTCCGTGGTACCGAGGAACCTCCTTTGGGAAACGATGAAGGAGCTGGGGCCAAAGCCGGGGGCCAGATAGAGTCCTAGCCGGGCCGTTCTATCCACCGAGCTTGGGATGGCGCACTGCGATGTTCAGGTTTTTACACACGCAAAATGACTGTGCTGTAGCGCGGCGCGCTCTTGCTGCTTCGAGCAGGCTATTCGTTGACATTGTGCTCTCCGGATCTTCACGAATTGACGCATGTGGCGTTGGCCACGGGACACTCGAAAGACCGTCCGACCCCGCATTCTAGCATTTCTGATGGTACGCTGATGGATTCTTCTCCCGCGAACGTTAGCATACTGGCGATCCCTCTTATGTCCATCTGGGCGCAGCACCAAGCTCTGCGAAGGAAGAGCGCATTGTAAATCGTCAGCAGACGTGAGCGGTAAGCAGACAGACTAGAAGACGACTTGCTCTCACCACCGAGGACCGTGCCGGTCTAGTCTCAGGCAGGACGCTGTCCAGTGGGATCGACGGATAACGATATCAATGCTGCGGCAGTGGCATCCTGTCAAGGGGTGACCGATGCGGTATGAGAGCAGAGTCACGGCGGCGTGCGCACGATCTGGCGCCGATTTCACACGGCGGATGCTCAGCGGTTCGCACACATCCTCGTCTGATTCGCCCCGGCCTTACATCATACAGTTTCGAGGCACCTTGAGGTACCCGGCGGCAAGTAGGTCCAGATAGAGTGTGACGCAAGGGTACGTGTGGACTTTTCCCGTTCTTGAGACAGCGACGATCCACAGCTGTGCTGAGAGGGGGCTTTGGGCGGCTCGAGACCCAGCAAAACGGCGTCGAGGCGTGCTATTGTGGCGTGGCTTCGCGCATTGAAAACAGTGGCGGCGCCGAGTTGTCGACACCAGCTGTGTCAACGCAAGAGATGGCCGGGATCAATTTTAAGGGCTAGACTCCGCTCAAGGAACGTTTTCGAGCACGTATGGGAACAAATCGAGATGAGTTCCTCCAGTACATGAGAATCTTGCTGGGTACAGACACCAATGCAGAATACAGTTCATTAGACAAAGCCGTCCGCAACTGCTTACTCGCAACATGTGCTTGGAGGCGCCTTCCCGACTGTGCACAAGTGAAGTAGGAAGGTGGAGATGGAAATGCGCCGCCACGCAAAAAATGTCGAAGCAGGTTTCCTGGGAGCCCTTTTAACGCTGCGAGTTTGCTATCGAAAACACTCTTCGGTGCGTTCGACCCAGATTGTCGGACTATTGACTGAGAAACGGACCTTCATAGGGTCTTGAGCCGCATAGCTGCAACGGGGCTGTGTGCAACGGACAGTCCCCAGGACCTAGCTATGTGAAGGTTGACGTTGAATCGAGAAGGCTTCACCACCGTAACGTACGTGAAAGCACTAGACAGATGTTCGCCATAGCTCTGACACGAGCTTATGGAGCAATGGTCGGGGGAAGACATCTCTGTTTGCCTATCATGTCGAAGTAGGCCAAGATAATACATGGCATCGGGAGCCCGTTTCCGCGCTAGCAACGCGCCAAGTTATCGGAGATCCGTGTCGAGAGTAGCGATCGCTCAGTCTGGGAATAAAGTAGCGGCTGCAAAAACAGGGTAGTGAACATGAAACAATGAGGAAGCATGCACTCACGGTCTATCTACATAGACCTCCAAAACGTATCTCATCTTCCTAGCAATTTCCAAGCCCGTCGGCGAAACGGGCGAGGTAAGCAGATTGCGGCGAACATGGCAAGACAGAGACCTCGCAAGTTCTTCATTGTAGACGCGTGAACGTCCTTGTGACCGGGGCTGAGCGCAAGTGCGCGGAAACCTCGAGCTCGAGACCATGGGCGACGCCCTTGTGAGATGCCAGGAAAGAGCGTGCCCGTGCAGCTATGATGTAAAGCACGCAAGCAAGTGCAAAAGGAAGCTCATCGTGAGCGCCACGACAGACTGCCATTACATATGGTGCAAATGTTGGGCAATTCTGGCAATCGTTTACGGATGTGCACGAATTCCGTCGATTCTGCGAAGGCGTGAGGTCAACCCACTTTCCATCTATGTACATACTACGAAGAACAGACCGTGGCGCACCTCTTGCCTCAGCGACCAGAGGGACTTGATTACTGTCTGTATCACCGTAGCGTTGGAGGTGTCGCAGGGGTCGATCAGAAGGAGATATCAGAAAGTTCTCAAGGGTTGCTCCGCAGTGCACCCTCACCTGGAGAGGGAAATGCCGTGTCCTTTGACCCAAACGTATATCGTTCTGGAATGTGTCGTCCCAATAGCGACGGACATATGGACCTGGGGGAAGAGGAGATTAAGTACATGGCAGATTGGGAAGACATGGCGTTGTGCTTATCTGGGATTGATGGGAGGGCGTCGGGGCGGGTAGATAAGCCCAACTGAGCGGGCGGGCCGACCTTGGAAGCGGGGGATTTAGACAGGAACTGGACAGACGCCGGGACAAGAAGACGGATTGCAGCCGGGTTTTGAGCTCGAGATGCCTTGCGCGGCTTGGATCTACCAGCCCGGCAAGCTAGCTAGGGTCTTTCCTCCCCTGTCCCTTCCGGTTCCTCCCTGACTCCCCCATCCTCTCCCTATAACACTCATCCCCCCGCGCTCTCGCCTGCAAGTGGCCCCCCCTCCCTTCCTATCCGTATGAGTGATACCGACTCCGTTACAATCTCTCTGCTACCTGTATCCCTCTCCCTCGTCCATCTTCCCCGTTCCCGCCTCGAGCACTTCACTTCGCACGTTCTTCGCCAGATTCTTCAACCTAACCCTACCTTCCTCAATGTCACCTGTAACGAAATCGAAGTTAGCTTGTTTGCCGAGCACGATGCCCTCCAAGACTTCCACACCGCCGCAAGGAAGGATGCGCGAACTATTCGACGGCGTGAACGCGATGTCCTGGCCGACAGCCTTCAGTCCTCTCGACGTTCCAGGCGAGTGAAGGAAGACTGGGAACCCATCGAAGTCACTTCCGAGCGCTGGAAGGTCCTGCAGATCGACTCTCACTCTGACCGTCTAGGTGCGTACGCAGTCTTCAGTGTCCAGATCTACTGTCGCCGACTCCTGCCTCGTACAGACACCTCGGGCGCTAGAGTACACGAGTTGTCCGCACCTATAGCTGCTGCCGGAATTTCCATATTCTACCAGTCGTCATATATGTGCGACTTCATCTTTGTGAGTGTTTCTCCCTTCTGCTTCCACTGGGGGCGGCCAAGAAGGTTGCAAGGCCTTCAAGGCAGAAGCACATGATCAATGATCGGGGTGGGCACAATGCTCTGGTCCCCTCATCCTTATCTGCATTGGCTTCGTGTGGCCGTGGCTTCCATGTGCAGCGCGCGTTGCTTCTTTAAATGAACGCGAACGCCCTCGAAGATCTCGAATCAATGCATTGACACATTATAACGTCCTTCACAGGTCAAGGAGAGTCGCTTGACCGAAGTTATGTCACTGCTTGGCTCTGCGGGTTTTGACTTATATCTATCCGACCCTACGAACCTGACGGCGCAAGTCTCCGCGTTTACGTCACCTCTGCTATCGCCAGAGGTAGGCGACGAAGAAGAGTCCACCAACCCGTTCGATTTGCATTCTACCGTCAATCCATGTCGGAAAGGCTTTGACACCGACGCTGGGGTGATATTTACACGTTCACGAAGCAACACCAATGGGACATCGAGCAGCTCGGGCTCCCGTTCGCGCGTCCCCTCGCAGCGGATGTCGTCGGTTAACGATATTCTCGATCTGGAACGCGCTACCGAGGCGGACCTGAGCGCGTCCCCTGTTGGCACGGAAGGCCGACCCCCACCAGTGCGGTCTGTCTCGCACTCTCCCTCCATGTGCGACGTGCGCGTACTCTCCCCAGACATCACCTGCGTCGGGCTTTCTGATGATAGCGCTGAGACATGGGGCCTCAAGATCGTGAAACTTGTCGCTTTCCCGGAGCTTATTGTGGGACCATCCGGTCAGCCGGCTCACGCACGACGAGGACGGCGTGCGTGCGAGGCTTCACCCGTCCTATCCGCATTGCCGGAGGAGCATATCCATGTTATCTCACTAAGCGAGGGAGAAGCGGGCAGCGGGAGCGATACCACGACCCGCGTCTCGCCCGACTCGCCCAAGAAGGACCCACTGGATCGCTCCGACTCGCAGTCCCCCGAATTCGACCTCGAGCAGGAGACGGTCATCGATGACGCGGATGACGCTGACGAGTCGAGTGACGACGACGATGACAGCGAGCGCGATGTCCGCCCCAGACTAGCTCACCTCCAGACCGCGTCGACGGTCAAAATAGGGAACCCTCGTGTCCGCTCGCGCTCTAGCTCCCAGTCGACGTCGTCAAGCATGTCCTCCTCCTATTCTCCGCTGGTGCCCTTCTTCTCGTTCACGAGGACGCCTGAAGGGTCTTCTCTTGCTGCGCCTGTGTCCCTTCTGGCTACTCTATTTCCGGCAAGCGAGAGGCATATGGTCATGTGCAGCCAGGAGCTGGACGTTTTGGACTCGCGCAACGCTTCTCCGGAGCGCTGGGCCGAAGAGGACGAAGGCGCTGCGGAGGACGAGGATGCGGATAGCGCGCTTCCCGAACCGGAGGGCATGCTCAAGTGCCTGCAGATTGACCTGCGCAAGTTTGGGCTAGGTGAGCTCATAAGTGGTCGGCTCGCGTATCTCTGGCTGGTTGCTGACGCGCACGCGTAGAAAAACATGGGCTGGTGAACCGGTTCTCGAGGACGCTCGAAGAAAACGGGATCAACCACATGTATAGCTCGACGTACAAGACCGCGAACCTCCTCGTTGACAAGGCCCATGCGAACCGCGCACAAGCGCTGCTTCGCTCCAGCTGAAATGCCTTCGTGACATCTCCTCTGCCCCCACACATGCTCTCTTGGATCACCGGTTCGGATCGTTTGTCCCTTGGTCATGTCTCCGATCAAAAGGCATCCGGCACTCGCTGTCGAAGCCAGGTCCTCCGACTTGCATCGCAATACCCCTTATCCCTGTACGACAACCCATGCTCTCACACGTCAGGTCACGAGCTTCATTATTTCTCCTGCTGCTACATTACTACATCGCATGCAACCCTGGTATGTCCCTCCCCTCTCCGAAAACCCTCCCCCTTCTCGTCCGGCGCATCACATTCACCCAGCTCTTCCAATGTTCGGAGAGATCCTCGTACATCTGCCTGCACTCACCCTTGCATATTTCCGGTTCCGGTCCGTCGTCTGTCCGCATCACCCGTACATACTGCATGTTCTCCATTCATCTCTCTTGCCTGGTTACTTAACAGCAAAACCGTGTAGTACCGATGTGACGCTTGGCGTCATTGTATCACTTAGTCGTCCCCATTGCGCTTGTACGCATGCTTGTATGCACTGGCACCGGTCTTGATTCTGACTTGATGCACGAAGTGAGACTTGGAAACTAGAAGGGCCATGTCCCATGATGCTGGCGCTCAGAGGGTATGTTCTGACGCGTCGAGCTGAGGCCACAGGGCATAGACATCGGCACGTTTATTCTCGCCTTTTGCGTTGTATGTCTTATACTGGAAGATGTCGAACTCTCGGGTGGCACTACCGCAGTGATTTGGACCCACGAGTCAGGGTGTCCGCTGAGTTCCAGTTCGGCGTCCTGAGGTGCACAGGTACCGGCGCGCCTAAACCGACGCCATCTCGGGTGACCAGCGTCCGTGATACATCTCTTCTATGCGCAGGGCATCGACGACGAAGGTTGATAGGACCGCAGGCTATGTCTGTGCCTGTGGATCAGGTGGCGTCAGCAATGGTCTGAGCATGATACAAGGTCGCAAGTCGAGTTGTGGAGTCCGCTGAACGCCCCCAGTGCTGTTAGAGGCCGACTATCGCTCCCGGTCACATACGGCCAGGCGATGTACGTACAGTATTCAGAAGTCTCTGGTGCGAGAGAGCCGTCTCGCCGCAGTATTGACGGCGACTCGGGTTCGTTGATTTTCTGCGTGCTGGTATTGTGGCGTGACCATTCGCGTGACAATGGAGAGGTTGAACTATGTAGAGCGCGAGCTCGGAATGTATGGTCTGTCACAAGAGAAATCGGAAAAGTTCAATCGTTGCAGTCAAGATACAAGCTTGCAGTGGCGTGTACGTCGCCGCGAGAAGACTGTCAGTCAGTCATGATGAACAGTCAGAGCCCAGACCGTCTCGGAGAGTCGGGATGAACACGAACATTCGTCGGTAGATGGTGGCAGGTCACCAAGCTGCAACAGATGAGTGAGACGAGGATCGAGCAAGGACTGAGCGAAACTAGGCCGCGCGGAGTCTCTAGACCTGTGCACTGTATGTGCCATGGAGGAACTCAACGGCATCAGGGTCATGATTGTGATATCAGTGTCGATGATGCGAGCGCTGCTACGGTCGAGGCTTCGCTGTAAGGTGAGGCGCGTTCGATGAGAGCGTGCGATGTTCCGGCTGGTACTGAAGAGGGTGAGACTGCCAGCGACCGATGACCGTGCGGATTCGCCTAGGTGAGCGCGTACTTGGCGACGAGCTGTATAGTACAGTGACTAGCTGCGCTCGTGGTGAGCGGAGAACATCAAGGGCCGCGCGGTGAGCGGATGCATCATCCCTGCGGACGACACGAGAAGGCGGTACGATATGCGTTCATCATTTGCGCAGTATGTACGGTCACCTATCCCAGCGAATGTCGGGAAAAGCCGCTGGTAGCACCATCTTGAGAACCGGTGCCGCCGGAGGACCCAGATCGCGTCCAGGTAGACTCTGTATGCCTGCGCCACGCAGAGATGTCGAACGGTTGCAGCTCTTGCAGTCTCGTACTGTCAGTACGAACGGTCCCAATGAACCCAGCATGCTCGCGTTGGACGAGTGCCTGTGACGCCAGCTGCTGTGGAGTGGAAAATAGCCGGGTTTGGGGGGCGAATTTGCCGATAGGGAGATCACCGAGATCTGGGCTGCCCGATGCACCTAAAATGACAGGAAGGGCGCTCGAGGTCGATTGAGGCGTTTGAGGACGCGATCGAGGATGGAGGATGCATATTCGGTCTGACAGTGAGTGTTTTGTGCTGGGTGCGAGCGGTGAGGCTTGAATGAGGAGATAGGGCTGCCAGACTGTGAAGGCAAGAGCGGGGGAGGAGACCGTCTTACGGGGTCCTGGCGTCATAGGATGAGTGAGGTGCACGGGGACCGTTCGCGAGTCGTCCGCCTGCTTCGATTCGGCGGAGGCCATGACGCGCCCTGGGCCTGGGGAATAGGAATATCTTTATCTGCCATGGCCGTACTCCACCGCGCGAGATCATTCCCTGCTTCGGTGTCGCCAGGCCCTCGCCTGCCCTTCCCAACCACGGCTCTCATCATTCCCGAATCTTCGCTCCTTCCCTGTCCAGGCCTCTTGTCCCTCCTTTGTCCTCTCCATCCACCTCCATGGCCGCCTCGACGCCGCCGCCCCCGTCCACCAGCCCGTTCGACTCTGCGGAGGGCAGTCGCAACTCCAAGGGCTCGATATCGTCATATCCATCGTCCGCATCTCGTCTGCTTTCAGAAACTCTCCCTTCACTACCCAGGCGTCTTACCTCCTACGGAAGCAGTCCTTCGCTATCTGTCGCATCCGACTCACCATACCTCGGTCCAAGTCGCCCCTTGTCACTCGGCGATCTGGTGCGTTCTGGCTTCTCCCTTTCTGCACGGCGCACGAACTGAGCCGAACGGACCCTCTCCCTAGTACACGCTTTCCCCCGACCCTCAGACATGGGGGACGCACCTTCTACCTGAGGACAAGGAAGACGACGACGATCTTCATAAACCAGACCCTGAACTAGAAGCAGATCGACATTGGGCCGACAATGGTGGGGATATCATCTCGAGGCGAGGCATCGTCAACCTCGGTGCGCTGCTGCTACTCATAACTGCTGTGCTCATCCTATTGTGAGTATTATCGCATGGTTGTTCTCTACCTTACATGTCCTGCGTTCCTTCGTGCTGCGCAGGCCCCCAGTCGCGTGTAGTACCGTGAGGCCCTTACCTCCCACTAGCCGTTGCGTGGACCTACTGCCTGGTTCCCGTGGGTCTCACATCCGCTGTCGTGAACCTTGGGCCAGTGGCCGTCGACGGTCGTCTCGGTGTTAACAGGGCTCCGCTCAATTAGCGGGGTCCTGCCACAACCGGTTAGGATCTGACGGATTGTACGCTCACCCTCAGGTGTCACCCCGTAATCACCGCTATACCGTCACCTTCTCCACTTGCGGCTCTTCGTCGTAGCATCGGCCTGGTCTAGCTGCTGCAATTATTACTTCTTTCCGAGTTCGTGAACAGAATTTTCAAGGCGTGGACTAATTCTTTTGCACAGTATCGGATATCCTGTCATTACTGCCGTAAGGACAACACAGAGTACCCTGGGTGCGTTCAATCTGGGCGGCATCAATGCTTCTGGACAGGTACGTGAGCTTCCGGCCGCTCTACCTTGTGTCCAGTACGTTTGACACTTGTGAGTTTCACGTAGGTCCCGGACATCCCAGGCCACCGCGGTCTGATCGACATTGACACGCCAAAGTCTGCGTACAAGAAGACTGGCTGGCGCAACGGTGAACAGCTTGAGCTCGTTTTCTCCGATGAGTTCAACGTAGATGGACGGACGTTCTATCCTGGCGACGATCCGTATTGGGAAGCGGTTGACCTTCACTACTGGGAAACTAACAACCTAGAGTGGTACGATCCCGAAGCTATCGCGACCGAGGGCGGGAACCTGGTCATCACGCTGTCCCAGAAGCAGACGCATAATCTCAGCTATCAGGGAGGTAAGCATATTTGAAACATGCCGGGTATGCCTTCGCTACGATCTCTAACGTTCCTTCGCGCCTTTCAGGAATGATGTCTACATGGAACAAGTTCTGCTTCACCGGTGGATATATCGAGACTAACGTCTCGCTTCCCGGCGTGAACAACATTCTTGGGCTCTGGCCTGCCATCTGGACCATGGGAAACTTGGGCCGTGCCGGTTACGGCGCGTCCCTCGAAGGCATGGTACGTTGCCACATTGTGTGCGCTTCCTCGTAACCTGCGGGCTTACTGTTCTCCCATTCCAACCCCCTGGGACCTCCTGTCAACCTCGCGCTCCTCACGCTGTGCTTCTGACGAATCTCGCGGCGGGTCTATTTTGCGTCCGCAGTGGCCGTACACATACGACACCTGCGACGTCGGCACTGTCGCGAACCAGACTATCAACGGACAGCCTGCCGCAGCTACAGTCGACGGTGATCAGGGTAAGGGTGGCGTCCTGTCGTACCTTCCCGGCCAGCGGTTATCCCGGTGTACCTGCCCTGGCGAGAGCCATCCTGGGCCCAAGCACTCGGACGGGACCTTTGTTGGGAGGGCCGCGCCTGAGATCGACGTGTTTGAGGCGCAGATTGACCAGAATACCCTCATCGCACAAGTGTCCCAAAGTGCGCAATGGGCGGTGAGTGTTGTGTTATTTTTTTCTCGCTGACGCATGGCATGGTGATGGTAGACGTAAGTACTGACGCAATTCCACGACGGCGCTCCGAATCATGCAGCCGTTCAACCACGCGTATATTTGGCAGAACACGAGCGACAATGAGATCATCACGGACCCGTCGATATCCCAGCAGAACACGTTCACCGGCAGCGCGACGCAACAGGCCACGTCTGTCGTGACGGCCACGGACCCTAATTGTTACGAGTACGAGACTGGGTGCTACTCGATATACGGCTTCGAGTACAAACCAGGTTTCGAGGATGGCGTACGCGTTTCTCTCACGCAGCCACGTATGATGCGGTACTGACGCATGACGTTCTAGTACATCACCTGGATATCAAACAATCAGGTTTCGTGGACTTTGAACGGTCCCGGAATGGGTCCAGACTCGCTGGTGGAAATCCAGGAACGTCCTGTTCCGGGCGAGCCTATGGTATGTTCCGTGCATATATTACTCGACTACGGCATTGTATCCCATTTAGCCATCAACGCTAATCTAAACATAACGCCCGCAGTACATCATAATGAACCTGGGAATGTCGTTCAACTTCGGGCCGGTCGACCTCGCCCACCTGCCGTTCCCTGTACACATGAGGGTGGACTACATCCGCGTGTACCAGCCTTCGAACGCGATCAACATCGGCTGCGATCCGAAGGACTACCCCACCGCGGCGTACATCGAGCAATACCTGGAGGCGTATTCAAATCCGAACCTAACAACATGGAGCGGGGATTACAAACAGCCATGGCCGAAGAACAGCTTCTTGGGCGAATGTTGATCAGGTCGCCGATGTCGACTGCTACCTTCTGAGCCTGCGCCACGAGCGCGCCATGCCTTTACGTGACCTGGGACATCCTGCACTTTTGCTTCGCACAAACATGGACACTACGCACCGTCCTGCTCTCGACTGTCTTACCTCGGATTTATCATCTTCCCTCGCATATTGCTCTGACCCGCTATCCACCTTCTTTCCAGCACGTTCGCTGGCACCTTCATCTCGCTTCATCACCGCGTTCTCCGACCCTCTGCACCGCGACCTCCTGCTGTATCACATCTTACATCACGCCGTCCTGACATTCCCTGCACATACCACACCACACGTATCCGATCATGCCTTCACGCAGCCCTTCACCCTCGTAGCTGACTTTTCACATTTGCCTTCCCGATACCTCTCCGTTTCCGTTTCGAGCGGGCTCTCTGCCCGAGCTCGACGCCCTCCCGACCGGGTTCTCTGCCCGAGCTCGACGCCCTCCCGACCGGGTGCCTTAGACCCCGGGCCACCCCTACATATCCGTACTATACTCACCAATTCGTCCGCTCATCCCCGGTGCAGCTTTCTCGTTGATCGACTTCACTACCCCTGCACCGGCCTCGGGACTACATATGCATCTACATTTGGTCCTTGCATGTACAGCGATTTGCGGCGGTATATACATGATCGCTCGGACTCGGCTTCGGACTGTACTGTTGTAGGGCTGCCGTTAAAGTTTATTAGATATCATGTAATTGCTGCCCCTTTCACGTAGGAGATAGTAGACGGCTCGAGCTGTCAAGAATTAACCTGAAACGGAACAATAGCGGGCTTCGGACGGACGCGATCGCCCGCGAACTTCCATGTCTCGCTCAACGTACCTTTGCAACTGTCGTGCGTCGTGGAGGGCTTGCAATGGGTTGCTACCTCGGGCGGGCTTGTTCGACCCTGTGCGGAGTGCGCATGCGATAGCCTCGAGGCGTCCAAGCAACGTATGCTCCAAAAAAACCCCGAGTGTATATAAGGCCTAGAAGCATTGTACACGTACGTAGACAACGCTCACGTTCAGCCAACGCCGAGCGCAGTCCGGACGCGTCGTCAAGCCTACCACTTGACGTGGGCAGAATGCATAGATGCCGTCCTCCGTCCGTCGACCGCGCCTCGGACACCATTGCGCGGCAACAACGACACTGGCATCTAAGCAACTCCGCTCGCGTCTGGGAGGCCCGCGGACCCCGGCCTTGGGAGGCGCGGCATGAAGGACCGCCGATTGAGGACGAGGCCCTTGAGCGCGCGGATCTCGCGGCGCACCTCCTCCTCTTCCGGGGAGAGAGAGGTGCCCAGCCCGAGGCCGGGCGCGCGGAAGGACGTGGGGAGGGCGTACGTTTGGGTCGTGATGTAGCCTGTGAGGTCGGAGAGGGCCTGGAAAGTGTGCTGGAACTTCGGTTGCGAGGACGCGGGCGGAGGTAGCGCGGATTTGAGGGAGGCGAGGGAGGCGAGGAGGGGAGGCGGAGGTGGTGGTGTGGGTGATGCGTATGTCCAGATTGTCTCGGGGGAGGGTACAGGCGAGGGAGAAGGGCTTGAGGATGAGGACGGGCTTGTCGGAGGTACAGCGGGGTCGACGGCTCGGAACACGGGTGTTGTAGTGAGTGTTCGCCAGAGGCTCTCCTTTGAACAAATGTTCGCACATGATGTTCGTGGACAGGCGACATAGCAATTACGCACCTCGTGCTGCGCGCCCTCCTCTGCGATCCAAGGGAACTTGGCCTCGAGTACACGGAATAACTCCGGCGACGTCGCTTTTCGCTCACCCTTCGAGCAGTCCTCGATGGCACACCGTAGGAGGGTTATGGGAGGCACGTCTTGCACGTCCCCGGCTGCGCTTATGAGTTCGTCCAGTCCGTGGCACTCCGCGTATTTCGTTGGTTCACGGAAAAGTTCGGGCTGGGGCAGGATGGCGAATGTCGATTGCTGCGCCTCCTTCAGATCCCCGAGTGACCGCGTCAGACGCTCGAGAAGTGCGCTGCGATGTGAGCGGAGCGAGATACGGGCTTGGTACATCTGTGCGATCTTGGGGTAGAGGAAACGCTGTCGAGTCGGCTGAGCGTCTGCGGGATGTCGAGAGTGGAAGTGCAGACTTACGAAGTATGCGAGCAGTAGCGCTGCAGAGCCTCCGGCTATCCATGTAAATGCGCGGAGTACATCCAAGAGAAGATAAGGGACCTTTGAAGGCGGTGGTTGGGGATATGTGCGGGGTGGAAGGGGCGGAGCGGGTGGCGGCTGGACGGACAACACTTGTTGGCGTAGCACGGCTGGAAAGAAGAGATACGACGTACCACCTCGTATAGCAAGCTCTCGATCTCAGCATCCGTCAGACCCTTGTCCGCCAGGAACCTCCGCTTGGCCGCAGAGTCCTCATGCTTGACCTGAGGGGAGACCAGGAAAGCGCGTGCTCGTTGCAGGAGTTCTGCTCGTTCTGTAGGAGCTGGTGACGCCGTCTCCGCCTGGCTTGGGGGAAGCTCGGGTGGACTCTCTGCAGGCGGTTGCACAGAAGGTTGTGAATGCTCAGACGACTTGTCTTCATCTGCCATGGTCAAGGGCTCGGAGAACTATGTATTCATCGCAATGCGGGGCTCCAGACTGGGCGCCAAAGAGGCCCGGAAGCAAACAAGACCGGCGGGCCGATGAACTCTCCTGCCACTTGTGTCGGCTGCGAGCAAACCTTGGGGACTACCAAGTACTGAGGTAGGTGAGCAACAGACTGTCGATATCCGATCTGCCAAACTTCAGACTGCCTTCGTCCTACTGCTCAGCTTGAGCCGCTTCGGACGCTGTCGCGGGAAGATGATAGTCGGACTCTTGGACGCATGGTTGCAAGATGCCTCCTCGTCGCTGCTTCTCTACGTGCATGGGCTTCTGAACGATTTTCAAGATGGGCTTCGACCTTCTTAGACTTCTACCTGCCACGAGAGCACGACTCTCTCACAGCCACGATCGGGCACGTACTGCGCTATCTTCCTATGATCTACAGATCAAGGGAAGCCTGCACACCATCCACAAATACGATATCTGACAGCAAAGAGGTGCGAACAGGTGAGCCAGAGCACAATGCGGCTGGGTTTCTGTCTAGCCAAGTAGCCTAAACCACAGGCATCCTCATGCACTTGTGAGACATCTGCCTCAGCTACCGGCGAAGTCGCCCTAGTTCACCATGCGTCGCTGATCTGAGCTCCGGTCGCTATGTCCATGCGTTTTTGACAATGTCTCCCAGGGGACGAAAGCCCCCAACGTGCCTGTCAGCCTGTACGCCAGCAAGTTGACCCGCTAAGTCCGAGCTTCTTCTCTGACACGGGCGAGTACAAAACGAACTGTAACCAACCCCTCTCCCGGTCCAAGCCTCCAGATGTCCGCCCAGACCGCATATTCCTCGTTAGCCTTGTTTTATGCTACCGTGTACGTCAAATATCAGGTTCCATCAGTATTACGCGGTGCTTGGCTGACTCTCCCGATTCCCACTTATGACAGCGTGCAAGGACAGTACTCTAATGCTGCCGCGGGAGGTAGGTCTCCAAGATGATTCTATGCTGTCACGGCGTCATAACATTAGTTAGCATTTACAATCTATGATTGGTTGGCGTCGATACCCACGGAGATTGAGCTTTTCTGGGGGAACACCGCTCGTCCCCTGTCCACCGCCCTTTACTACACTACCAGATATACTACGTTACTCCAGCAAATCCTGATGGTTCTCAACTTCTCCCTATCAGACGATGTATGTGAATACAGTTCAGAAGTAAGTGTACATCACTCATTTCTACCTCAAGGGGTATGTCGAGCCATATATCCTTCCTCTCTCTACCCAACTATCTAACAATGTGATCGCGCTCCAGTTGCACTGTGCTTGCCGATACTATCAGCGCGCTAGAATATTTGTCATTGGTCCCCCCAGCGTGTATGTTCCACCGAATGAGTCAGACTGAAGAAGGTTGCTCATCCTAACTGGTTACAACTTTGAACTTTCAGTTTTCTCTGCACTACGACTTTACAGCTTGACCCAGCGCCGTGCGCTGTCGGCCATAGTCTCGGTTCTCTCGCTTTTCCCCTTTGCTGCCAACATGGTACGGTCCTTCTAGAACGGTGTCTCTCCCTACATTTTGGATTCTGAGATAGCTGTGGAATATAAGCAGGCTCGTTTCGGATACATGTCTTCCGGAGCTGCATATCCCATTATTGGATGTGTATCGCTCATTTTGGTTCCTGCCATTCTTAATATGTGCGTCATTCACGTTTCGCATCTGTCATAATACCAGACTCAAAGGATTGACAGTTGTATGTGCTGAGTTGTCTCATCGCGGTTGCTCATGGAATAACTCGCTTCTTACCTAGTGATCATACCCAGCCGGTTATGCCTCATGATGTCGGATGCTCTACTCATCACAGTCACTTGGAGGGTTCTCGGTGGACGTTGAGTGCTGCAAATGAGAGGTACGAGTATTATGTACATCATGCTATGGGATGGTAAGTCGGTATACTCGTGCACTTCTCTTCTCAAACTTACGTTGATCCACGTCAACAGGTATTCTATACTTCATGTATGCCACCACTGATCGCAGGAAACCATATGTATCACTGATATGTGTAACGTTATAAAGCGTCCTTCAAGTCCTGAATGTCCTTCATCTCGTTTTCACCGAGCTTTCCGTGAGTTTTTGATATTTTCACTCTAAGCGTGTCAGCCATCATATGCTAACGGGTGCCCAAATCATTTTCAGATCATTAGTTCATACGGCCTGAGCGACATTTCAATATTCACATCCCAGTAGGTCCCCTGCCATGTGCTTTTGCTACTGGGTTGCGAATAATTGCGTTTCGCTGTCAGCCTGACATCTGTAATCCTCTCCAACTTCCTCATGGATCTCCAACAATCGTACCAGAAAAACGTTAACTTGGACACAGACGATCCCCTCCACACTTCGCATATTTCTACGCTGCGCTCGGATACTGCGTCTTACAGCCTTGGGCCGCTCGGCGCGATCATAGGTCCCGATACATATCCGGCAGATGCGGAGCTAGAAGACATGACAACGGCATAGACGTCAGCTGTGCACTCTCCGGCGGCCGCAGCCCCGAGGAGCGCATCCATCCTCCTTCTGAATTGTGTAGTCTGTGACTGGAGTATTGGTGACTGAAGTATTAGCTTGTAGTTCAAGAGAGGTCCGGCTATGGAAGAGACCGAGGGGTGGATACCAGAAAATGTCGAGCACGAGATTGTCTAGTTTATGTAGATGCTACATATTGTGCTTTATCTCGTGTACCAGACAGACGAGGAGATGTAAGATATATTGGGGCAAAAAGCACACGGAGACCCAAGAGATTCCGATACTCTTCCCCAGTGGAGGTTCGATGGAACCAGCAACTTCAAGTCGTTGAAGGCCAGCAGACGTGGCACGAGTCTAAACCGTCTGCGAACGGAGTCTAATCGGAAATTTGGTGCTAGCGGGGACGAACTATAGGAGAGTAATTCCACAGAAGGACTAATCGTGGAATTGGTAGGTAAGTCAGTAGTGCTTGAAGCTGGAAGCATGAACTCTCCAGCCGCCTGACTAGTCCTGATACAGGGAAAAGAACAGTGAAGCGAAGGGCTATCCGTAATATTGGCCGCCACATATGCGTTGTAAGCCTGAGTTGCACTGTACAGTCAAGGGGATCTGAGTGGTTTGCGAGGACTACTGAAGTTGAACGCGGTCACGACTCGGACTGACGCGAGTATGAATCCGCGCGATGATAGCACGGGCCGAGCAGTCCCGGCGAGACTCGCGCGCCATTGCGCTGCGGTCGCGCGGTCGGACTTCGCTCATTACATATACTCTCCAACCACTACTCCTACCTTTCTTGCCCCCCAGCCCTCATCGGCCTCTGCGATGAAGGAAAGCCACGACCCGGAGAAGATTCTTCTTCTCAACCGCGACGAGCAGAATGATGAGGAGCCCCAGCGTTCTCGAGTTTGGTCGGGCTCGCGCCAGTGGAGGGGTCTGAGGAACCTGGTTGTTGTGTTCGTCATTTATGGTGCATACACGGTTGCCATGCATGTCCTTGCACCGATGCAGCACGATGAGCACCACCATGAGAGTCTTTACTGGGCTAAGAAGGCTGCATGGAAGCAACGCGGCCCGCTCAGCCCTGAGAAGGTTGAGGAATTCTATCTGTACGTCCCATTTGCCCCTACAGCTGTTGCGAGTGCTGCGAGCCTCATGATTATCTGAATTTCTCAAATGCAGCTCGATTCCGGACCCTGGTTCCGCGCTCGCTGCCTCCCGCGAGTACGCTACCCACCCGCACGTCGCAGGCTCCATCGAAGATCTCAACGATGCCAAGGTCATCCTAAAGCTCTTCCAGGACGAGTTTGGCATCCACGCATCCGAGGATATCCCTCTCTACCACGCAGGCACTCACGAGTCGCGTTCGGCGACCCTCGACATCCCCAAATACCACCATCCGAAGGCTTGGATCGACCAATACTTTCCAGTCATGAACACTCCGCTTGACCTAGCGCTCTCCATCCTCGGGGAGGACGGTAAGCCTGAGTGGGAGGCCGACCTGGTGGAGGACGGAGACCCGCACGATCCAGATGCGGCCAAGTACCGCGATGCTGTACCCACATTCCACGGGTTCAGCGCGGACGGTGAAGTGGAAGGTCAGCTCGTGTACGTGAACTACGGCAGGAAGGAGGATTACGATGAGCTCATCGTCAAGGGGGTGAACCTTACGGGAAAGCTTGTCCTCGCGCGCTATGGCGGTGTATTCCGCGGCCTAAAGGTATGTCATCTGCTCACCAGATATCGAGCTTCTCTCAACTTGATTCCATAATGGCAGATCAAAGGAGCACAAGAGCTTGGAGCTGTTGGCGTGCTCATTTACGATGACCCGCGCGACGATGGTGTTGTTACTGTCGAGAACGGTTACAAGCCATACCCCGAAGGCCCAGCGCGGAACCCGACAGCCGTGCAGCGCGGCAGCGTGCAGTATATTTCGCTGTACCCTGGAGACCCCACCACTCCTGACGCCCCCGCTTATGAGAACGCGACCCGCACGGACGGCGAGAACATCCCCAAGATCCCTAGCTTGCCTATCTCTTGGGGGAATGCTCAACGCCTTCTCAAGGAAATTTCCGGTAAAGATGTCAAAGCTGCGCTCACGTTGAACGGAAAAGCTAGTGAGAAGAAGGTCAAGCTCGTGAACCATGGTATGTGGAGTAATATTGAATTGATACTTGACTTGTATACTGATTTTGTTGTGTAGTCGATACCAAGGTCATCCCCATCTGGAACACACTGGCTGTCCTCCCTGGTCACATCAAGAACGAGACTGTCTTGATCGGCTGCCACCGTGATGGTGCGTTCCATGACTAATTTATGGTTCGTCTCGCCTTGAACTGACGAGTCAAAAGCTTGGGTGATGGGTGCTACTGACCCGACATCTGGTACCGTGTCCATTCATGAGGTCGTCCGCGGATATGGTGCCCTCTTGAGGAAGGGCTGGCGGCCCCTGCGAAACGTCGTGTTCGCTAGCTGGGATGCTGAGGAGGTACGGGTTGTCTCTCCAGCGTCGTCCTATAAGCTAGACGTGTCTAATGTCGGCCTTGATCTGCAGTATGGCCTGATTGGCAGCACTGAGTGGGCGGAGGACTTCCCGGAATGGATCACCGAGAACGTCGTTGCATATATCAACCTTGGTCAGTACCTGCATATCAAGGAATGTATATACTCATGTTGTTTTTGGCACAGACGTATCTACTGGTGGGTCTCAGTGGTCAGCTGGCGCATCCCCATCGCTCGCGCATTTGATCCGCGATGTCGCGCTGAAGGTCCCACACCCGACCGATCCCACTCGGACGCTATGGGACGCGCGTCATGATGTTGGTCCATATGACGGCTTCGTGGACGCCGAGAGCGCGGCGGTGTTCTCGGAGCGAAAACTGCACACACAATCTGACTTGGGCATCACTCCTCTGGGATCCGGTAGCGACTGGACGGCGCTCCTCCAACATCTCGGTGTAAGTGGCGTCCCTGCTTGCAACGACACCGATAGCTGGCTAATTTTGTTGACTAGGTTGCGAGCATGAACCAAAACTTCGAATCAACGCTGACCGACGCCGTGTACCACTACCACTCCGTCTACGACTCGCAGTTGTGGCAGGAAAGGTATGCTGACCCTGGCTTCTTCCGCCACGCTGCCGTCGCGAAGCATCTCGGTGTCGTCGCGCTCCGTCCGGCCGACTCGATTATCCTCCCGCTCAACACGACCCACTACGCGCACGAGCTGGACAGCTACCTAGACGCGGTCGAAGACATCAACGCGGCGCTGAGCACGACTGCCGACTTCTCTGGGCTGCGGAGGAGCATTGGGCGTCTGCAGGCAGCGAGCAAGGCGCTCGACGAGGAGAAGGAGGAGGCGGAGAAGGCATTCCGCGAACTGCTCGACAAGATCCCGCATCAAGAGGCGCACGCGCACCGCCATGCACACCCGCATGCGCACGTCGACGGGGACGTCGTTCCTCATCCCGACAGTGAGGAGGGACACCCGCACCCGTCCGGACACGGACACTCGAGATGCGCCCTTCACCACCACGGCCACAGCTCGCGCATCAACGGCCTCCCGCTCCCGGGCTGGCTGAAGAAACTCTTGGGGAGCTCCTTTCACTCGTACCACCACCTACGGCAACTTTCCCACGATCGTCAGCCAATAGGAGCGGGCTACGTCGTGCGGTCAGTTATCCCTCTGGGCGACGGCCTATAGCGTACATGAAACAGCAGCAATACATACGGACAGCAGGATGCCCCAGGACGCTACCAGGCGAGGACCGGCAGCATCGCCACAAACCGCCTCGCAGACAAGAAAGACATCGACAACTGTAGCGACAGGCGCACCGCCTACCAAGCAACTGCGGTCCACACCGGCTACAGCCACCTTTACGGCAGCGGTGGACAAGATTCAGACCATGGACGAAGCTCTCGCTGTCTTGCGGAAAAATCAGATGGTACCGGCGGCTGGAGAACCCACGGCGGAGGGCCTCATCACGGGCCTTCATCATGTAGGAGTGGGACTCTCAGGGAAGATGGCATGGGCGTCGGAGTGTTGCATAGCATTAGCCGTCTATGCCAAGGCGGTCATAGAGAGCGCGGTAAG